GTTGTTTCCAGTTTAAGGATGTAGCAATGCCCAAGAAAGATCATTGAATCATTCATTCGGAGTCCCCTTGTACCCTCTAGATGTACCTTGCTTCTCAAATCATGTTAAGTTCTCCAAACAGTGTCCCCGATGAACAAGGATTAAATCTGTTTTTCTAGGCTAGGGAGCCTCTGTAACATTGCTGAAGTAAGGCTTGGATTCCGTGCAATAGTAGTGCTAGTGTATTCTACAGTTAACAAATATATTGGTATTTAATCCACCAAACATCATAAACACTAGTGCAAACATTTTAATAAGCTACTGTGTAGTCATTAAATATTGAAATCTGTTCTTAATTAAGTGCTTTGTTTAACATAAAAATCCTCATTCTCAATGCAAGATTTAGCCCTGTTCCAACACAAGGGCAACAGCATGACATGATGTGTTAGACCATCTGTGTTTACAATCACTGGCTTTCCTAATGTATACATGAAAATGAGGTCAAGCTTAAAACAGGTTGCTTTATTTAGTTAGAAGATAACTCAGGCTGTTAATAGACGTCAAAATCCATGATTTTTCATAGATCTGACCAACTAAATACAACTTTCTATAGAAATGAACTGCTCTGTTGAAATAACACTTCTGAAAGTTTTCCACATTTCTTTGAAAAAGATGCAGTGCTACAGAATTACATAAATTTATCCATTTTTCTATTACAAGTACTTGTGACAATGTGTACGCTGAAAATCAGAGGACCACACAGCAAATATTTTTAAAGATTTTATAAAATCTAAACTAAGTTGTGCACTGACTCTTTTTTTCTATTAAGTTCGTATCTTCAAATCGAATGTAGGTGATATGTAATTTCACTTCAAAATTACATCTTCCAGACCCATCCAACGTTTAAATATCCTTTTACTATTTCTTTAAAATAAAATAAAATAAAATAAAATAAAATAAAATAAAATAAATATTGTACAAACTGAGAAATCACTTGCTGAAAGTATACGTGTTGTATACTTCTACAGCACTATACCGTAGGGCAATATCTTTTCCCAAGAATAACAAATGAAATTCAGAAGGTAATTTTAAGAGCTCACAAGATAACTCACCCCCGTGCTGTCTGGGAGTTACATTTCATCCTGGACAGAGATGCCCAGCATTAGGCACAAGGTTTATGAAATTCAGCACGTGACTATGTGGAAGCAGGCTACTATATCTCAAGCAGAGTACTATTTCCCATAGTACTTGGTGGTTGTCTAAAATCATCAGTGCCAGTAAACATGATAATTTATCATTCTTTTAGAAAAACAGTCAGGTCCAGCTTTCAGAGTTTCAAAAGAAAATTTTAAAAATATGTAAGCTTTACTAGCTTGTATAGCCAGATGGCAAATAATATTTAAAGAAAGTAACTGAAATGTATTTATAATCTCAATTATATTTGTCTTGAATTTTTATCACTAGGGTTGCCAAAGCCCTAACTTTATAAACATATGAGAGGCTGGGATACCCAGGGTGGTGAAGAATTGTCTACAATGACTCTTAGAATTATAATGGGTAACTACTGCATTGAATCAAGGTAGAAACATTTAGAAAAATAATGCCAGAGTGTGGAAGAAAATGTGGAAGATTGCAGACATCATTCTCAGTCACCATTTTTCTTTTCTTCCTATGCCTTTGATCTAGAGAGCAGCAATAAAAGAGATATGAGCAATAAAAGAAAAATCATATATTAAAAAAAAAAAAACAGGCATCAGAGGCTTATTAAACACAATCAGTTGCAGGGATTGCAGGAGAACACACAAACCAAAACAAAAAAAATGCAGTTTTAGATTTTGAATCATGACTTTTTTACTTTTACTTTTGAAGAATTTGTAAAATCTACCTCAATATGATTTACTACTGAAAAAAAAAAAAAAAAAAAAAAAAAACTTCCATCAAATAGTTTCTAACAAATCAGCTATTTGATTTACAATAGTCATTATAAAAAAAAAATCTTTTTGCATTGCTTTATGTTTGACTTCTGAGTGTGAAAAATTAATAAGTACTTGACTACAGATCCTCAAAGTATTGTTTTAGAGTGATTGGGCATGGTTGACGTTGTTTAACTAACAGCACAAATGCTTAAAATGCTCATTTAAAGAAAAGATGCAAAAGATGGCAACCAGTACCTTCCCAATTTCCCCCAAATTGCTTCTCCACCATGCTCCCACTCTGATCTGGAGGCAATACAGTATAAGAAAGGCAAGACAATTGTTCAGGCACTGTTTATCTGGTAACATATTCTCTCTGTATATTTACCAAAAAAAAAAAAAAAAAAGGCATGTTGAAGTAGTTTTTTTGATGAAAGAGCTGCAGAATATAGAAAGTTCACCTCCCCTTACATAGGACAAATGCTATTTCTGTCACTGTTAAGCTCAGGTAGCAACAGCCCAAACACAGGAGAACTAAAACAGCTCAGGAATATTCTGTTTTCTTGTTTCAAAACTGTTTTTTTTTTTTAATTTCACATACCTTTCCTTTTTGAAATCAGAAAATTCTTTTATTAAATTTATAGCAAAGTTTCAAAAAGTTAAGCCACCTATTTCAACATTTTCCTCTGCATTTCGACTGTTTTTTTCCTCACTTTGTACCATTTTTAAATTTGAAGTTAAAAAATCAGCTGAAATCAATATTTAATAATGATCCCAAGCAAGTTTGCATTGTTTCCTTTGATTGCATCTTCATATATTTTTATACAATTTTTCTATCATGACAGAATTTTAACAAGCATCAATATCTTTTTGACAAGCTGTTGTCTTTAAAAAGAGAAAATAGCAGAAAATATCCCCCTAGAACTCATCAAGTATGCTTTGGGTAAAAGTGTGTGTGTATATATATCTATACACGCATAGTTTATATAAAAGGATTTTATCCAACAACCTTGGCTATGCTTATTAGACAAGACACTTTACAATACTTAAATCATTTATATGCAATACTCCTAGATTTGAAAGACCGCATAATCTGCAAATATAAAGAGAAAGACCTTCCTAATTCCAGTGCGTATTTTAGGACGTAATAAACTTCCAAAAAATTCCCCAAAACCTCTCTTCTTTAGCTATTATTTCATATCACCCTCATTCCTTTACTGCTAAGCTAAATATGCCATACATATTTTTGAATTTGGTTCCTGAAATTCTATTATCTGTGCTGTTAGAGGATTGAAAAACCCATCTTTGTCTATGTCTATGCCGCCTTTCTCATCTATAGATGATTTATCCATTTAAATAAATAAATAAATGCAGGCATGCAGATTGGTAATAAACTGACTGCCATAAGCACTTATTTTTAGGACAGGATGCAGACACGACTTCATAAGAATTGCACTCCTTAAAGTCAAAACATAGAGCATGAACCTATCACTAAAATATTAATTTTCTTAAATAGTAAAGGCACTAAAATTTCATTCTTTTGTTTGTTCATTTTCGTGTGCTACTGTTAATTACAATGGAAGTTGGGTTACATATTGTTTTCTGTTGGTTATGACCAGTCTGGGAATTCCCAAGGACTGCCTGAATAAAAATATTCAATTCAATATTCAAGTTGTGTTCAGCAGAGTGTAAAGCACATCTACACATAGCTCTTATTTCTTTCTGAACTATCACAACCACAATAGAAGGAACAGTGGGAGCACAGCATTCATACACTAATAAATAGAAATCGAAGTGGGAACTGCTGAAATGAAATCAGGAATTAAGAGCCACTTGTTATTCCCTGCACTCTATAGCATGACACAATTACATAATAGGCATAGTTAATTTCAGACATCCCAGGTACCAGGTGGCTATCAAATCGTGTTCACACCAAGTACTAAATTATACTATAAGATGCCTGAATACTTTCAATAGCACTATTAGTTGAATAAATGCTGCATAATGCAAGCATTACTATTCAAACCTGGCCATAATTTCTAAACTGAAATATGATCACTTCAGGTACTTACTTGAAATAGCAAAAGCTGCTAAGGTTAGCTGTTAGTATTACCAATGCAAAAGTTGAATGTATACATACAACTTCAGACAAAAAAAAAATAATGAAAAAGTGCAGTATGAATTTCATTTATTTATTCTAAACTGTGTTTAAAATTCTAATTCAAAAGCCCACCTCCAAATACTTAGGGAAAGCCATTTGGAGCTACCCTAGGGACAAATAGTTTGGAAAGTGGAGATCCACATCTGGAGTTTGAACTTTTATTTAGTAAAGTTAATAAGAGTATTGTCGCAAATTTCAAGGGCAGAAGAATCAACTCTTTATAATGCATTGTCACACAAGCATTCTTAAGGAAGGATTGCATTCTTCAGGACTGAAACTTTAGCTGCAGCAGCATGCTGCTCATGTCTGAGCTTTGAGATTGCTTTGTTACTCCTCCCCTGAGAATTCGATGGATTTGGTTCAAGCACCATTGAATGTGATGCTGTATTAATTGCCCTGGAGGGTAGCAAGGCCTTTGAACTGTGGCTGTGAGTGATATTTTGCTATAAGACATGTGTCAGCACTTGGCTGGTTAACTCTAGGGCTGGGTTGTACAGCATGCTGAGACCAAGTATCTGGAAAACTACTTTGCATCCTAATCTTACATCTGTTTTCTATCACACTGTGAGATTGACTGGCCATTCTATCAGAGATGCATCATTCTGGAATAGACAGTCTAAGTAAAAATATTGTACTGTCAAAGAATATTAAGGATGTGCCATCATCTCTTATAGTTCGTAACACCAGCTGGCAGATGGAGACACCAAAGTATTACAGTGGCTGATGCTTTGCCCTTTCCTCTGTAGAGGAATAGTCTGTGCCCAACTTGGCGTACAGTAAGCTAAAGCTAAACCAGTTCCACAGTCCCACTAGTCTCTGCTTGTGGATATAAATTTTCTTCAGGTATAACCGCAGGTAGAATTCCTATCACACAATCATCTAGCACACAGTCCATTACCGTCAGTATTAGAGTAGCACCGAGAGGTCACAGAGGTCACAGCACTCACCTGAACATTACAGACTCCATTCCAGTTCTGTCCTCCCAGAAGAGCTTCAGACCGTATCTCCTTTTCCTTTGGAGATGAGCAATCCAGGTTACGATGTGGTGTTCTGTCCCCACAGTCCTTTCTAAAGTCATGCCATTTTGCATTGTAAAGTCAAGAAAAAGAAAGCAGGAAAGTGAGTATTGCTTCTACAGCTGAGCGTGTAAGGGCACTCACTTTGTCTTGAAAAAAATAATTTCTGATTCTTATTCTGAAAACAGTTTCTACTTTACATATAGCAGGTGAAATACCTACTAGTTACATCTAATTCATGCTCTTTCAATATCTTTGTAAGAGGTCACTGTCACCATCTGTGTGGTTCCCAGTTCTGGAGTATTTGTTGTGTGTTGCAAGCACAACAAGCTCCCTAGAGGACACAGACAAATGCTTAGAATGAAAACAAAGATCCTGATCTGCCTGAAGTACAGGTTTCCAAGATGCTAACCTCTGGCAAGAGCAAGGCAGTCATAGTCATACACAAAAGGAATTGTAGGAGCCTGAAGTATGTCAATGAACAGAATCATTCTCATGGCTGGAGGCATGCATGGAGAATACGAAGAATTAAACTTACATGTGGGACTTAGATTTAGATGTCAAGTTCCACTTTCAATGCCTACAACAGTTTTCCTCTTTTTTTTTTTTTTTTTTTTTCATTTTCTCCTTCCCTTTTTGCTTTCTTTCTCCTTTTGCCTTCCTTTCTGTTTCTTCCATTTGTTTTCTGATTTACTCTTAATAGAATTCTCTGACAGCAGGGAACTGAGTTTGCCATTGTTATTTAAAAACAAAACAAAAACAGAACAAAATCCTTCCTCCATTTCCAAGAGGACATGAACTACACCTTCCCCATTTATCCCTACTAATACTAACGTTGGGTAGTAATAATTAATCTTTTTTGTTTAGAAAACATATGTGGGTTTCAAATGGATGTATGAAAAAAAATTAAATTCAGAAGATATGTTAACAAAGGTGCCATTAAAAGATCTAAGACCACATACACATCTACATACTGACATGTGAAGCAGAAATTTGATATAAATTCCTGCACAAAATAATAAACCTCCTCTAGCCATTTATTTGATTTTCTAAAACATCAGTCAAAGAGATAAAAAAAAAAAAAAAAAATAGGAATGCATACAAAACTTTAAACTATGGGTTCTTTTTTTTTTTCCTCCTTTTTTTTTTTAAACCTCTTTTAACCCATCACAGAAGAAATATTTCGGTAAAAGATGATATTTAAAACTGAATACTTGACAAGGACATCACCTTAAGATTAAAGAGAGAAACATTGTGTTAATGCAGTATTTCAGACTGCAGTCTGACAGAGCAACACCCCGTGCCACAAAAGAAACAAAAAGTATAGTCATAGTCTTTTGATCTAGGACAAAGAGTTTTCTTTTATATTGCTGGTAATGTGACCTAAATAATAGAGAAATATTACTAATACACCTGCAACTTTGACCAATGGAGAGATATATGTAACCTCCTCTTAGGATTTGCCACATTCAGCATGATGAGAGCCGTTTTGCTTCTATACAACAGTAAGAGAATTTAGCTAGAAACTTTCCTGAGAAAATACCCATAGACATATTTGATGATTTAAAAGTTAAATAACAATCCCTTGCTAAGTAAAATGTCTTAAAAACCACAGTCATCTCTTTTTAGGGCCCAGTGCACCTATTGAAGCTGACAGAAATAAAAAAATCTCATTAAAGTCAATTCGTGCAACCAGAGAATCTCCCTAACAAGAGCAAGGGGATATGAAGGGATATTTGGTGTGATTGCACTCCCTCCCATGATCCATGTTCTGACTGGTGTGTGTTATCACCGCCGTTCAGCTGCTAACTACCAGAGTCCATCTGTTAGTGTAAGGAGAACATTTTCATGTCTTAAGATGTTACCGGGTACTTAGTTTAAAAGGAAAAGGAACAAGCTAGAAGGTGTACATCTAAACTGTCAAACAAGAAACTTTTTGCACCAAGTAGCAGTATAGTTTTGCAGGCATTAATCGAGATAGCCCATCTGGTTGACACTTGACATGCAAATTGTGTAGTAAAACTGACAGCTCAAATAATAATGCATCTGCCTAGATCTGTCTTACACAGCTACTGGTGCAACAGACTTTTTGAAAGCATCCTTGATATCCATTTCAAATCTAGATTGATATGATGTCAACCTGAAAAATCTGCTAGTTTATTTAGAACTAGCTATTTGAAGACAGCTCGGTCTGTGATTATTAAATTAATTTCTGATGTAATTGACAACACTTTGTATTCATATATCCCATCAGATTTTAATCAGCTAAAAAATCATCACAGACCACATATTCGATCATTTCAGTTGAACCCATTGCCATGCCTGTAGGCCAAGGGATTACACTAAGCTATCCCTCTGTTGTAGTTGCCTGCTCTGCAGGATACATTCTCTCCTCATAATAACCTGATATCCAAAGAAGCGATGAGTTAAGATTTCCAGGGCCAAGTCAAATACTCACAGCCATCCAAAAGAAACAGCTCTGCCATACTGCAATAGAGTAGGTACTTTCAAAGCACTTGCACTGCTTACATCTACATTGGCTGTTAGCTGGGAACTGCAACAGAGATCTCAGCACCATCCTGGGTGCTGAGCAAATTCACTTTCTACAGAGACCTGCAAGAGCTCATTGCAGGGCAGTCTCTGCATTTTGCGACACTGGGCTGTAAAGGAGATACAAGCACAATTGTGGGATGGGATTTCTGGGCTACACATGGTGTAGAAAAAGTTAGCATTTCTGAATTCTGTTTATACTAGCAGGAGTCCTTTGTAATAGGCAGGTTTAATGGAAGGAAAGGCAGGAAGAATGAAAACAACAATGCTCTTAACTACGCCTTGTAAGTAGCAAATTGTAAACTGAGGGAAGATACTAAATTGGAAGCACTGCTATTATAGTGAAAAGGAATGACTCCAGCCTTCTTTAAAAATAGAATTTGCATTTATCATTGCACTGGACAAAAAATAACTACCACTTTCTCTGCCCACAAATAGATCTCACATGCTGCTTTAAAGAACCTAACATTTTAACACTTACTTCAGATTCATTCTTTTATTTTTGAATAGCAATTTATAAGAATCCTTATCCAGTGGTCATTTGAGAGGTGCAGTAATAAAAATAAAAATTAACCCCAATTGTTTATCTCAATAATTGCACATGACCCCTAGTTTCAAGTTTCCCAGTTATTAATTTCTAGTCTCTGACTCATTTCATATCCAGGCCAACCTATTATAAGAAAAAAGAATTGCCCATGGTTTTAGAAGTGATCTCCTTTCTCAGTCTTACAAGCTATTTATCAAATTATACATCCAAAACACACACACACAAAAGTTAGAACTAGGAGAAAGAAAGAATTTCTTGCCAGTCTCATTTTACCTTAAAAATGTGCAAAAGATACTTAAATAATGTACGTGGGGAATATGGTATTTTAGGGAATCATATCTTTGAGGACATATTCCGATGCCAGGACACTAAAAGAGCAGAAAGAGACTTTAGGATTGCTGCACTGCAAACAAGCAACTGTAGACCAAAGTCTGGAAAATTAGTATGATCTAGCTCTGGACAAGCATGTCTTGATAAAGAGCAATAATGAGACTTTAAATTCACTATATGATATGGAGCCAAAAAGCTGAAGTCAAAGGTAATATAATTACGGCCACAAGATAATTTGTTTCATACATAACATCCCCACCCTGCTGAAACGATTTTGATTTTTACCTGCATTAGGTAGAACAAGTTCCTAATATTTATTACCATAAATATAACATCAGCTCCTGACTTTTAGAAATAGCTTTCGAAGTGCCAAGGCTAAGGTTTCAATATAACTACATTCCTTTTTGCCTCCTTTCCCCCCCCTCTTTTTTTTTTTTTTTTTTTTTGGCTACTTGAGGAAATATGTATATTTTCATGGCAGGACCAAGCTGACTGAGTTCTCATTCCAGTGGATTCAGATATTTAAGTCTCCTTGAAAGAAGGGAGCTTGGTGGCAAAGTTTATCTGTCCCCCCAGTATCACTAAGGAAAACAGAGAAGAAACAATCTTCCACCTCTTCCTAATTATGGTTAATTGACAGACACGGTTACTGTCTTCCCCGATCGCACAATGGTCACAGAGAAAGCTACTACTTCCCTGTGTCTCCAGACCATATGGCTGAAACAAGGGGAAGTGCCTGCTAATTGTAGAGAAGCAGCAGGCTGCACGTAAAAGACAGAGAAAGGAGGAGGGAACAGCAGAAAACCATAGTATAAGCCAAGAAAATAAGATATGGCCATACTCATCTTGCTAAAAATGGCAACTGAGATAAAGGCCCTGGGAAGTTTTATTTAGAAGAATACAATTCCTAAGGTAGGCATAAATATAAAATAACTAACATGTAATAAAAATGTCTTTAGCAAGAACGATGTGATACATCTTAAACGATTTATCTAGACTAGAATTGTTCCTCGTAATAAACGCTGCTCACTTCTTCTGCTGACATGGTAAAGTCCGGTGTCAGTGGCCTAATCCTTGAAGAATTACTCCTTTGGTTTCAACATCAGCGTTTAGAAAAGCTGATCTGTGTGTTACTACCCCATACCAGATGGTCAAGCAATGACCAGGGATGCACTTTAGCTCTACTGCAAAGGGCACATTATTCCTTTTTTTAAAGAGGAAAAAATCCATTCCAAATTTCATTTTTTATGCTACTACATTTTGCACGTGCACGCTTCCAGCTGAACTATTAATCTTCACAAGCCTTGATAGATTGTGGTTTCCCAATAGCCTTCAGAAAGTGTCCTGATGAGAATATTTGAAGCCCATCCTGCCCTATACCTTGCCATCACTGAAAGTCACAGATAACTGATTCCTTATGCGTTTCTCTGCATTTTGAAAACAAACACATTAGGTAATTGGAACACCAAAGCAAATCTAATTGTTCAGACATTTCTCCTGCTTTCTCCTGACTCACTTCACTGGTAATAAACAACTTTTTCTATCCAATCAAGCACCATGTATTTTTCTGCTGGAGATGGTTCACCAGAATATTTAGAATCATTTCACAGGATGTTACTTTCTAT